CGGTCGGACCCTTCCTTCCCCGGCCTGCGCGCAGGGAGGCTGCGGCCCCGGGGGCGCTCGTGGCGCGTGGCCGGCACTAAGCATGCGCTTGCTGGATGCATTCGCTCACTGCCCAGATGAAAGTGCGATTGTCCTCGCTTATTAATAACCCCTGACTCACTGCCCCGGACCGCTCCGGGGTCATCCGGGCTTTGTGGGAGCGTCGGATGCACTTTGGGTCCGGTTTTAAAGCACAGTGGCTCCTCTGATATTTTAAAACAATTATTCAGCCACTGTGTAAGTTTTTAGATAAAATGATGCACAACTTGGATCTTAATAACAATTGGCTTAATTATAGAAGTTAATATGGTCCAGTTTCTATTCTCCATTTTAAAATCTAGTCATCATTTTAGCAATGTACCTGAGAATAATTGCCAAATAATGTACCTGAGAATAATTGCCAAATAAAATTACTACTGAGGACGGAGAACAGGAACTTTACACGTTCGTTAATAAGATCTAGGTGCATGTGCTCATTTTTCTACTGTGTGCAATTCCTCTGTTGGGGTGTCCTGGGAATAACATCCAAGTGGGCATTGGGGACAGTGTCGCTTTTTGCATCCTTTTGAGAGTTCATTGGTGTCCTTCAGAGTTAGTCGGGACTGGCAGTTTGTGAGGGAGTGCACAACTGGACGGGGCCTGGGGAGGAGGAGAAAGCTCGGCCTTCCAGATGTTTCCGGTGGGGCGAGGGGGGCGGGCAAGCCGAGTGCCCAGCTCAGGCTCTGGGCGTCTGAACCATGTCCAGCTGCTGCTGGGAAGCCTGGCCTGACACCTAACCACTAGGCCCTCCATGCAGAGGATGACGCTGGAGGACGACGCTGGAGGACCATGGAGTGGGAATAGCCTGGAGAAGCCTCAGCCCCCGGGGTCTCTCAGGGGAGATGGATTTGACTTGGGTCTTCCTCTGGCCTCCCAGCCAGTCCTCTGGCCAGGCCTTCAAGCTCCTGAAAGCTCCTTGGTTACTATTATCTGAATAGAGATCCAAACACCCATGTGCCAGGGTGGTGAGCCGTGGATTGCCTGAGAGAAATGCACCCCACTGTCTGACCTTTCTGGATTTAAGATGCAGGTGTCAGCCCTGCTCATGTGAGGAGTGGGCACCCCCCACCCAGGGGAGAATACAGAGGGCTCCAGAGCAGGATCTGGCAAAAGAGAGGAAGGCCCTGGTTCTCCCCCGAAGTCGTCCAGGCCTTTGGAGCCTGTGCCCTGGGCTCCATCCCAGATGGCCCCTGCGACACTGCCCTTCCGAGTTGCTGGAGTTTTCCAGATCTTGGCCACCACCCCCAATGCAGACAGTCCTTTTTCAGGAGACATGTTGGCTCAGAGTACTGAGGCTGGATATTCCAAATTTACCTCCCCTAGACCTCAGAGCTTGCTCCAGGCTGCAGAACCCACCCTGAGCCCCACCCCCCTTCTCCCTGTTTTCAGGGGTTTCCCCATCTCAGACCCCTAACTACCGCTGGGCACCAAGTCTGCTGCAGGCACACACTCCCCTTGCGGATGCCGTCCACGCTCATGTGAGACTCACAGCCTGGTGTCCTGGCCCCTGGGGCCTCTCTCTGAGTTCACGGCCACTTTCATACATATGCACATTTCACCCTCAATCCCCTCTAGACCCCAAGCCCCCATGCCCCATAACGGCAAGGGGTGTCTTATATACACATCAACAAAAGGAACCTGAGAACCAACCCAGGCCCCGCTCCAGGTGAAAAGAGCCATTCTCCCTAATGCATCCTGCTCGGACACGCCCTGCTTGGAAACTTTGCGGCTAATCCTCACTGATTTAATTTTGTGCCCCCTTTACCAGTATCCAAAAGCTGGATAAAACAAATTTAAAAGGGACTCTAATCCTTTTGAGTGTATCCTGCAAAGTTCCAGAGGGGAACCTCTTAGCAGCAATTAGAAGACACGTCAAGCGGCTGATGGGCCTGCCTCCCTGATGAGCAACACCAACAGTGTGCGGGCTGGGTGTGCACGACGTGGCTTTCAGAGCAACAAGGACAACAATGCTCACCTTTTCTTTCTGCTTTCTCCAACCTAGATTTATTATAAAGTCATTAAGGACATTGAGCCAGGAGAAGAGCTGCTGGTGCATGTGAAGGAAGGCGCCTACTCACTGGGAACGGTGCCCCCCAGTCTGGATGGTAAGCCCCCACCCGCAGGAGCAGCCGCATGATGGGGCCAGGCATCCCCGAGCTGCTGCCCACAGCCCTGCCCAAACCCCGGGCGGGCAGAACCAGCGTCCTCTTAACAACTTCTCAACCTAAGCCCTTCTCTTTCTCCTTCCTTGGGTTATATGAGCCACCCCCTGAATTCAAATTAGAACTTCAGACAATATGGGTGAATAGGTATCGTGTTGCATTGTATCTTTGCACTGGTAGAGTCCTGGGGGATTTTTTTTAACTGTATTATTATCAGTAGCAGCAGCATCTTTTGCTCTTCCCAGTACTGAAAAAAAAAAAAAAAAACAGTTTTGTGGCTTTGAAACATTCGCCCCCCCGAGAGCTCTGTGCCACGGGAATTTCAGTTTCGTTCACAAGAGGGCCAAGATAGCATACACGTGTTCGAAAGTCGTGCCCATCTGTAGTTAAAAGCCACAAGCCCAGGGGCCAGCCCGGTGGCGCAAGCGGTTGGGTGCACGCGCTCCGCTGCGGCGGCCCAGGGTTCGCCGGTTCTGACCCCGGGCGCGCACCAATGCACCGCTTGTCAAGCCATGCTGTGGCAGCGTCCCATATGAAGTAGAGGAAGATGGGCACGGATGTTAGCCCAGGGCCAGTCTTCCTCAGCAAAAAAGAGGAGGACTGGCATCGGATGTTAGCTCAGGGCTGGTCTTCCTCACACACACACAAAAAAGCTGCAAGCCCAAGAGAAATGTTAAGGGAAAATTTATTTGGTGAGAGGGAAAAATTGGGGCTGGGTGGGTCTCACAGCGGTGTTGGGAGCATCTGAGCCTTCCATCAGGCCTTCGGGAAGCGCTCTCGATGCCATTCCCTCTGGATCCATCCCGATATTTGTCCAGTAGACACCTTCCCTTCCTCATGCGTCCACACCCCAGTCCATCTCAGAGGATGCTGGAGAACATTCCAGTCTTAAATAGGCTCAGATTCCTGAAATACAGGTTTCTTTTCCTTCATCCACGTTGTGAAGCAATGTGCCCGTTCACCTCGGGATTCTGGAACAGATTTTAGTGGCAGAGGAAAGTCGGTCGAGGAACGCTGCATTGGCAACGGGGGACTGGTCCTTTAACTGCCTTCGTGCCGCTGATGAGCAGACGGCGTCTTTGAACGAGACCCACAGGAGACAGAAAAGCAGTCTCTCCTCCTAGCTGTCTCCAGAGGCTCATGCTGGAGAAAGGGAGGCGGCTGGTTTTTCCTTTCCTGTCTTCCTTTCCCTCCCCTCCAAACACACGGAGGAGTAATGATTAACCCCGCTAACTGCAGGTTTCTCTAAGGAACCACTGTAGTGTCATGGCACGGAAGTGGCATTGGCTGCCCATGGAGCTGGGCGTTAGAGTTAGCAGGAAGCCTCCGAGAGCCGGCGCAGACATCTCGGCCTTAATTTACCCTTTTAATCCCCGGGCGTGGCCCAGCATTTAGGGTCCTCCCACAATTCATGTCCCTGAGTCTTCCAAAGGCAATCGCCACAGAAGAACGTTTTTATGAGCTGGATCCTATCCATACTCTCCTCTCAAGTTTGGTTTTAATTAGGCCGTCGAGAAAAGAAAAATAAATGACTGAGATCTGGGTAGCAGGAGATGGTCTCATTTTCCTTAAAATAATTGTTGAAAAGACCTATGAATCTTAGACAACACACGAGAACTCGGAAAGATAAACCCACTCAGCTCGTGGAGCATACTCGGCGAGGGCGTTTCATTTCTATAATGAGATATCTTTCTTCCAAAACGTTTTAAAAACCTTGATTCCGATTCCCCCTCCGACCCCCGATCTTAAGTAACCTGGGTCTACATTTTCCTAGTAATGTATCCAACGTTTGTGGGCTAATTGCTTTCCACACACAATAGTCCAACAGCAAATGTTTGACTTCCATGCTCTTTGCTGTCAAGATCACTCTTCTGCCCCCCCAACAGCCGCCCCCCAAGTTGAACTCTGAATCACACAGAAAGAAAATGCAAAAATGTTCCTCACTAAGATAATTATCATAAAAAATCTTTTATCCCAGCCCCAGCTGAATGCAGCGGCCCCTTATCACGGCAGGAATTTGGAGTGGGCTCTCGAGTGCTCTGGAGCCTCCAGTCTGGTAGATTAGCATGTAGATGCCACATAATTGTGTCCCCCTCGGTTCTCTGAAGCCATTAGGCACTGATTTATTTTCCTGTTACGTTCCTGCTCTGCCGTGAAAAGTTGCTGATGGAACTTCAGATAGACGAGCAAGGTGCAGATTTGACAGACAAGACGTCAGCTGCCGCAGCGTTGGTTTAGTTTGGTTTGGGTAGAAGGTAGGGCTTCTGCCCCAGCCCACGGCCCCCCGCGCACCCCCACCAGATTTCGATGAAGAGAGTTCAGTTTTGAATCACAATTTTTCGTCTCGTTGGGGGCAGGGGCCTGTGCCAGGAACAACATTCAGGTGTCGTGGAAGAAACCAGGCCCTGCTTTGCCAGCTCGCTGGGGAGACAGAGCCCCGGCCCTGCACCTCTGGCGCTGGAACCCCTCTTTCCAAGCTGCAGCTTTGTAAAGAAACGCAATTCCAGTGTTCCAGCAAGTGCTTCAGAGCAGAGGGAAGCCACTTTCAGACTCATTAGTTCCAGTGACTTTTTATTTTGTTTTTACTCTTTCAATGGAGAGGGGAACGAGTCCTCTTTCAGGAGAACTTCTTGCTCTTAGGAGAAAATAAAGCAAATCATTTCCATTCAGATATGCTTTTCTTTTGAGAAAGGCTCAAAATGATTAACTTTTCCCCTCTCCAAAAAAGGTCAAGAGGATGCAGTGTATTGTGTATAAAGCATATGAGACAGACAAATAGTATAGTATAATATAATATAATGTAATATAGTATAATATAATATTATATAATATAATACAATACACTATAACGTAATATAACCAGGCTATAACATACTCTTTCAGTATTTCTTTACAATGGAATTGCTTGTGCTGGGAAATGAAAACCACATGTGCTGTGCGCATCCTTCTGCCCCCGTCCACAGCCCCAGGTGTGTATTCAATGCCAGCCTTACCTGCCTGGAAGACCGCTGGAACACCTGTCCACAGCCCAGCAGGAGTGGGCAAGGCTTAGACATGTCCTCTCCCCAGCTCTGTCCTTCAATCGGGGCAAACTTGGGTCCATGGTGGGATGGGGGACGGAGGAGGACAACGACATTTGTCTCCGCGGGTGGTTCCATTGCCTCCAGGGCACCCTCGAATGCCGTCAGAATGAGAACCAAGCTGAATTTTCATTCTGAATCCAAATTCCACGATCCAAAACTGGAAGAATCAGTGGGTCGGTGTTGTTAGATGAATGGGGTTGGCATTTTTTCTTGTCTTTGTTTTCATATTTCGAGTTCTGTGGTTGTTCTTAGTTGGGTCCAGAAAGACTCAAGTACAAATTGCATTTCCAGCTTAATCATGATGCTGGTGGGAGGGCTCCATCTCAGCTCATTCCAGCCCAGGAGGTCAGAATAAACCGGCAAGAGCAGTTTGGTGGGGTCTGTGCATCCAGCTCTGCTCTGACGTGGGGCTCTTGGTCCCCAGATATAAAGGAAATCCACACCACTCACGGTGCGTTCCTCATACCCTCGGTGGGCAGTTGGGACTCTGCCGTCGGCTTCCCGGGCACCCCGCAGTGCAAAGGCTCCGGTTCCACAGCTCTGCTACTTCCTCTGAGTGCTCTGGGCAGGTTATTCAGTCTCTCCCAGCCTCAGTTTACCAGTTACTAAGAGGGCATAAAAATAGTCCTTCATGTGCGCGTGAATTGCCGTGAGGCTTAGATGCGTCAATACTGTAAAGTTCTTAGGACAGTGCCAGCCATGTAGAAGCTCCCCAAACCTTGGGTGTTAATGTGGTTAGTCACATTATTTTCACAGTTGACATTTTTCCTGAAAAGATTTGCGTGCTCCGATGCTGTGTTAAAGACAGCGCTTTGCAGACTTGCAGGCTGGTTATTCTGGAACGTGCATCCTCCTTGCCCATCCCCCCCCACCCCATGGATTGTGTTTGGGGTTCCACCCTGCCACCGGAGGACCGGCCCAGTGCCTGGATGGGTTTTGTTTTAGAACCTTCTCTGACTCTGCTCTCCAGTTGGCCTTGGGCCCCATCACTCCCGTTCCTTCTGCCCAGCTGCTCTGCCTGTCAGCGGGAATGCCAGGGTCCTGCTGGTGATTGTGTGTGCAAACATTTGCTTAAGGGTCACTGGTGCGGCCCTCCCTGTCTCTTCCATTCTGGGTTCCCAGGTGCGTGTGGACCGGCCGGCCTTACTGCCTCCCTTCAGTCCGTTTTGCAGCTCAGCGTGTGTCTGGGCTGGAGATGTTTGGGGTAGAGCCTTCCAAGTCCCCGAGGCCCAAGCTAAGGCCCCTGCACCCACTGCGGCGGCCCCAGAGCAGGACTGGGTGATGTAACTTGACTCCTCAGACTGAGTGAGAGCTGCTTTTTCCCTTCCTGTTCTTGTTTCTCTCCAAACAAACACTTTCTTGACAGCAAGCTCACGTCAGTGAGCGGGCCAGGACTCCCGGCCTCAGGCTGCGTCTGCCCAGCACTGGAGCCCACCTGGCCTGCCCCAGATGCACGCGTCGCCAGGCAAAGACGTGAACAAAAGTCACATTTGGTGATTTGGTGCTTGTGAATCTGAGGCTATCAGCCAGTGCCCAGGGGGCTCGGCCAAGAGCATCTCAGAGCCAGCTCCTGCAGAAATGTCCCCTTAGGTGTTGGGGCCTCTGGGTGCCCACCAGTGGGGATGTCCAGGTGTGGCCAGACACGGGGAGCAGTGCCTCCACTCTTAGGCTCAGGGAAGCTTCCGGTCACAGGGAGGTGGCCCTCCCTCTCCCCAACCCTCCCCCCTAACCCACACCGCCCAGGCTGCAGAGCTGCCTGTCCTCTCTTTAGCACTCAGAAACATTTACCATGGTCTCTCTGACACAAGGATGGCCAGGAGGCAGCCCCCCTCCTCGCCCCCCCATCTCCCCCACCTTCTTCCTGCCCATCTCCCCCACCTCGTTAGGGTCAGATCCTATCGGTCAGCATTCAGCCCGAAGTTATTAAGGCCCTGCTTAGTGCTGAGCCAAGGGTCCTTGTGCATGTGCACACACATACACATGCACTAGAACACGCATTCACACATGCACACAGTCACACATTCACACTCAAAACACACAGTCACAAGCGCACACAAAGACACACATCCACACTCACACACCCTCACTCTTGCACACAAATGCATGCATACCCCCCACACATTCACACAAACACACACTAACACATACACACAAGTACAATCACATAACACATGCACATTCACACACAAATACATGCACACATATTCACACATACACAACTGCATGCACATTTACACAGACACAAATGCACACAAGTGCATATTCACACACACATGTGCATGCATTCACACATAGACATATACACACACAAACACATGCACACTCAACACCTACACATGGTCACGAACATGCATACTTAACGTGCACACGTGTGCATGGAACATACATGTTCACACGTGCAAAGTAAGCACACACATAACGTGCACAAATGTACACGTGCCGAAACACCCGGGCACACTTGCACACACATGCGTGCAAGTATGAAGATATGCAAACACTAATTTTCACACATGTAGCCACATATGGATGCACACTCATGCATGTGCACCATGCACATGGATACATACGCACACCAACACAAATATGAGTGTAGATGCACAACTATGCCTACATATTCACATGAGGATGCACAGGCACAGGTGCAGATAGTCTTGGATCTTCACACCCATGCACGAGAAGCACGTGTGCGTTCACATGTTCACTCACAAGCACACACGTGCACACCGTTCAATTCATTTGTGCAAGAGCTTTTAGTGCATGTGTTCTCTCCAGACCTGAGTGGGACCCGGGGTCCTCCTTGGGCAGGGAGGGGGACACCCACTCTGGGGAAAAGCTGTTGTCAGGCAGCTGCCAGTGGGGGCGGTCTACGGAAAGGCCTGGAGGTCGTCCCCCGGGAAATTTACAGCCCCAGGCTGATTGTTTGGTTTGGCACAGTGGTCAGGATGCCGCCTCGTAAACTTAATAATAGCTGCCCCCCTTTTAATTTGTTTGACCTTGATGACAATAATTTATGATATGCATTAGAGCTCTGTCGTCTTTTTTCTCCTAATTCATAAACAAAGCACTTGGCCTGGCTTCCTTCTCTGCTCCTGAGCCAGGGCCTTCTCAAGCCCACAATGGCCTCCTGAGACACAGGGAGGGGGCTCAGTGTTTCTTATGATGCAGACCTGGGTCTCTGTGGTCTCCACGCCCTCTGGGCAGCCACTCCTAGGTCGGGGATGAGGGCAGGAAAGAAGCAGGAGCAGGAACAGCCAGTGTGGGAGGCAGGCCCCAGGGTGTCCCTCCACCCCCCTTGCAGGCCCTGGGCCCTGGGGCAGGTTTCAGGCTCGCCCACCCGCCTCCCATCCTCTCTCTCTTGCAGAGGAGCCCACATTCCGCTGCGACATGTGTGATGAGCTCTTCCAGTCCAAGCTGGACCTGCGGCGTCATAAGAAGTATGCGTGCAGCTCGGTGGGGGCCGCGCTCTACCAGGGCCTGGGCGAGGAGCTCAAGCCGGAGGGCGTGGGCAGCGGGGGCGACGACGGGCAGGCCCACGAGTGCAAGGACTGCGAGCGGATGTTCCCAAACAAGTACAGGTGCTGCCCCTCCCCTCCTCCTCCTCCCCGTCCCTTCCCCCTCCCCAGGAGCCAGTGGGCAACAGCAGGGCCAGCAGCCCTGGGAGCACAGAGAGACCCCTGAGAAGGGCAGAGGTCAACCCTGGTCCCTCAGCCCTGATCACACTGAAGGCAGAGGGTTCCAGGGACAGGTGGAGACCAGGGTCCCCTCTAGTGCAGCACACCTCAGGGGCAGGTACCCCAGCCCACTCGTCTGGCACTGGGGACAGAGTAGGCCCATGAGCTGGCAGTTGGAAGCCACATAGGAAGCTCTGACAGTGAAGGCCAGGCCCCGCTCAGAGCCCCCGACTCAGGGCAAGTCCACGAGTTGCCCGGTTGAGACACTGCTGGCGCCGCTGTTCTGTACAGTCAGGGCTGAGTTGTGGAGACAGACTAGAAGGAAGTCAAGAAATGCAGGCCAGACCCCGAGATGCGCAGGGGTCAAGCCCCGCGGCTACTTTTGCAGTAAGGTCCAACACCAGGATGGGGGACAGCAATATCCTGCTGCCCAGGGATTTGTGGAGTGGCCTGATCCTCTGGACACATGCATAACTCCTTCTCAGACAGTTGACAGGAGCGGAAAGGGACACCCAGGAGTCCCCTCATCCCTCCACCCCAGGCACCAGCCTCCGCTCCCCACGGGAGACTTCACAGACGTGGACACAGAGTGGCAGGCCAGCTGCGTGACAGCCGGACATGGTCAGCCTAGAGCAGGCCCAAGCTGCCCCCCCTGCCCCGAGGCCAGGCAGGAGTTAGCCCCTGAGAGCTGGGGTCCTGGGGCTCGGTGGGAACCCCTGGGCTTCGTGGGGGAGAAGCCAGGACATGCGGTCCCAGTGCTCCAGGGAACCGTGACCTCGCCTCCAGCGTGGGCCCCTCCTCCTGCCTTCGAGAATGTCCTCCAGGACAGCCCTGCAAAGTCAGAATAAAACCCCATCAGGTCGCTAACTGGCTATGGGATTGCGGGGAACTGACGCCGATCCCCCCACGGCCTCCCTGGGGACGGGAAATCCTCCACCCTGAACAGATGACGGAGAAAATAAGCTTTTGGGCAAATCCCAACTGAGGCCCTTGGCGGTAAAGCGCTGCTCAAGAGGGTCCGTGTTTTCTTTACATAAACACATAAATCACAATTAACAACAGGGAAAAAGATACAATCTGTGCTGCTCAGGAACCAAGCGTTTCTGATCTAATGGATGGCTGGGCCCCGTAATTAACGGGCCGTGATGTATTACTGCTCAGCTCATGAAGATTAACGGTCATACCTGGGACAGAAGGAGAAGTGGGGTGTCCCCCGAGAGGAGGGGATTAGGAGCTGCTCGTTCATCCAAGTGCCGCGGCCCCTCCAGGGCAGCTGTACCCTCCCCACCCTATCACATCTCATTTGGAGACCCACTCGTCCACCCCAGCCTACCTCCTGCATGTGTGCGTGGCGGGCAGGCTCTCAGCCTGGCCAGGGGATGGCCTTGGGTTTCCCGGGCCTCACCCCCACTCTGGGGTTCATGGCAATATTGGAAGATTCCAGACCCCTTTTTTCTTAGGCCCAAGGTTAGCTTCAAGGTTAAGATTATCTTGAAGAGCAGCTGGGAAGTGTGAGTTGGGGTCCCACCCTGCCTCTGGATGCCTGAGGGGTGGTCTTGGATGAGGGCCTGAGCTCTGTCCAGGCACCAGCTTCTTCCCCATGTGATGTAGGAAGGCCGTCTCTGCCCCTCCATCCCGTTGACCTGTCCAGAGAGGAAGTGGACAGACACGCTACCAAGACTTGCTCTGATCCCTGAGCAAGGAGTGTCAGGGACTCCAGGGGCTGCTGAGAACAGGCCGTGATGGGTTTAGGGCCTCCTTCCCCAGGCAGCAGGCCCTGAGTGACCCCCGGCCTCTGTGCACAGCTTGGAGCAGCACATGATCGTCCACACAGAGGAGCGAGAATACAAGTGTGACCAGTGTCCCAAGGCCTTCAACTGGAAGTCCAACCTCATCCGCCACCAGATGTCCCACGACAGCGGCAAGCGCTTCGAATGTGAAAACTGCGTGAAGGTAACTAGCGTGTGCGCTGCCCGCCCCCAAATGCTCGCCTGCCGTGGGCACCCTGCCCCGCCCCTGCCATCAAAATCCAGAGGAAGGGTGGAGAGCACGTGAGATGCCCCGAAGTCATTGGGGTCCTTCCGTTTATGGGGAAGAGAGGGAGTGTGCTGGGTCATGCAGAGGGAAGAAGGCGTGAGCAAGACCAGACCCAGGTCCTCTCCAGGGAGGGCTCCTTTCCCCTGCCTCCACCGACGTGCAAGGAGAGGCAGGGGGGTGAGCCTCACCTGTCATGGCACTTTAGCGTAAAAACGCTTTCTGAGTTCCTGCCTTGAGCATCCTCACAGCTACCGTTCTCTCGGGGACTGTTACTGAGGAGACAGAGTCTGGGGGAGGCTGGATGGCTCCCCTAAGGCCGTCCAGTGAGTCACTGCTCCAGCAGAGAGCCATTAGGCCAGGCTCAGTGCAGGGGGCGGAGCAGCGAGCGAGATCCCCATCCAGCGGCCAGAACCACGCCAACAGGGGAGTGAGCAGGCGGGGCGAGAGCCCACGGTGTCCCTCTCCCCAGGTGTTCACGGACCCCAGCAACCTGCAGCGGCACATCCGCTCCCAGCACGTGGGCGCGCGGGCCCACGCCTGCCCCGACTGCGGGAAGACCTTCGCCACGTCCTCGGGCCTCAAGCAACACAAGCACATCCACAGCACCGTCAAGCCTTTCATATGTAAGTCGCCCCGGCTGGGCCGCAACTCCCCAGGCTCTCCCCAGCTCCCGGGACCCCGCCTGTTCCAAAAGCACGGCGCCAGCTGCCGACACCTCTGCCGCACGACGCCCAGGCCTGGACGCTCTCCTGGTGCCGCCTCTTCTTCGCTTTGCGCCCTCGCATTTATGGTTGGGATCTCTTGCTCTGGCCTCACTTTCCCCTCCTCCCCTCCTTGGTTCCTCCCCTGTGCTTATCCCTCCAGTGGCAGATGGTGGGTGGTGGGCAGTACACAAGGACCTGCAGGAGCCAGCAGCCTGCCCTCCCCGCTCCCCCTCCTCTCCCCTGCACTTGTCTGCCCAACCTGAGCTCCAGGAGGGGTGACAAGCCCAGCGCTGTTCACCCTCACAGCAACTTTTGGGGAGCCGGGCTGAGCACCCAGCACTGGCCATACATAACTGGGCCCCTGTCCCCATGGAGCTCCTCCTCTCCTCCAGTGGAGGAGACAGAGGCTAAGCCGGATAAACAATAACAGCACATGGAACAAGCCACAGCCTAGGGGGCAGGAGGCTCTCCAGGTGCCGGGGGGCAGCCCAGGTGGGCGCCGCTCCTGTGAGTACAATGTGAGGCCAGGATGGCCTGTCAGCTGAGAGGTGTTCTAGCAGAGACCCGGAGGACGTGTGGGAGTGAGCCAAGGGGGCCCTGCGGAGGAGGCTCCGGGCAAGGGGCTTCCAGCACAGAGGCCTTGAGGCCAGGATCTGTTTAGGGAGTGAGGGAGGGAGAGTAATAGGAGAGGGGTCAGAGGTCACAAGGCCCAAGTCCCGGGGACCTTGTGGGCCAGTGCAGAGGCATGAGTCCAATTCTCAGTGGGTTTGGAAGCCACTGAAGGTTCCTCTCTGCCTAGTATTGTACTGAGCCATCATTTCACGCAAATTGTGTGGAGTCATCATTTTAGACCAGCCTTGCGCTGAGTCATCATTTACACGAGATTGTGCTAAGTCGTCATGTCACACAAATTGTCTTGAGTCATTTCACACCAGCATTGCGCTGAGCCATCATTTCACACACATTATCTCATGGCATCCTTACAAAACCCTACAGAGCGGGGCTGCACTGTCTCCAGCTGACAGAGAGGGAAACTGAGGTTTCAAGACAAGTGACCAGGTGCTCGATGCCTTGCTGCAGAGCCCTGATTCTAGCTCAAGGGGCCTGGCCCCTGACCCCAGGCCTTGAACTGGAACCTCTCAGGCTCCATCCTGTCAGTGCAAGAAGGGGTAACTCTGCGAATTTGGGGACCAGGGTCAGGGTGTCTTTGCCAATGTGGAGGTTGTTCCAGTGCTGGACAAAGAGGCCATGATAACTGGTTGGTCAGGCCTTTGTTGGGTAGCTGGGGCTGTGCCCCTCTCCTGCCCGCTGCCCCCAGCCCAAGCTTCTGACTGTCCTGCTAGAGTGGACTCAGACCCTAGCCTACCTGAGTCACTCACTCCCCCAGCCGAGGAAGCAAAGCCCTGCCTGTTGACCCCTCCTCTAGTGTGGTCTTTCCCCCACCTCCTTCCCCTGCAGCCCTGGAAAGAGAGCATCTGAGCAGTGGTGTGAGCAGCGCCACCGCTCTGCAGGTGTGGGGGAGCAAGGCCCCCTCCCTTTGAGAGGGGCCGGGGAGAGGCGAGCTGCATGGGAGTGGGGCTAGGGGCCGTGACTTTGCGACTGGAGGTGCGCAGTGTCCTACTTTCCGTGCGTGAGTGTCCCAGCGAATCCCACTGTGGGAGGGGTGCGTCTGAGTGCACCAGGCGGCAGCTCCGAGTGTTTAAGCTTAGACAGGAAAAGTGTGCCTGGCTCAACAGTTGCCACCTTTCTGGGCTTGCAAACAAGCTTTGTGCAGTCTCGTTGGGTTGTATTAACCACGTAAGTTCCAGGAGCCACAGCGCTCTGGAAGGGTCCGAGCCCACTGTTCCCACTGCCTGCACGGCCTCCCCACGTGGATGGGGGAGCACGGGGCACCCTGGCTGGGCCCTGCAGGGGGTCAGCAGCTCTCTGTCTCTTGTCCGCGCTCCATGCTCAACTTGGTGCCTTGGCTTTTGGCTAAGGGGTAAAGCCAGGGAGAAAGCCCCACGGTTGGCCAGGTTGCATGTATGAACATTTCATTCAGAGAGGGTGGCACAAATTCTAGAAATCAGAAGTGAAATACGACCTTGCACATCCTCCGGACCACGGCAGAGTGTCCCTCGGCCCACGGGAGGGGGCTGTGGTTAGGCCTGGAAAGGAAGCTCTGCACGTAAGGGAGACGAGGGCACCGACGTGGCACTTCCAAGAGAAGAACAGTCGCTTACAGGCACGCAGGCTGTGGCGGGGCAGTTGCCAGTGTGCACAGACTCCACGTCCACCCCTGGGTGGCATGTGGGCGCACACCCACAGCACCCACGGATCAGCACCAAAGCCCTGGCTGGAAGCCCCTGAGCCCCCTCCTCACCGACCACTCAGACAGATGATGTTACCTCCCAGTGATGTCCCTTGCACCAGGGAGGTCAAGTGTGTGCCAGGTGTGTGTGCATGTGAGAGAGGGGTAGGGTACCTGGGCACACAGGCAGACAGTCCAGTGGGCACTTTCCAGAAAAGAACCTTCTCCAGAGTGAGTGTGTGTGTCCGTGTGTTTGCGGATGTGCATCCACACACGCCCTATGAGGAAAAGAAACTGCTGACTGAGACAAGTACTGGCCAGGGCCCCTCTGCATCCTGGCAGGGCCTGGTCCCCACGTCCAGTTTGCTGTGGGCAGCCCGGGCCTTTCTCAGCCCCTGCAGGCAGCCACCTCCCTTTGCCAGCTTTTAGCCAGCTGTTGGCCGTCCTAGGTCCAGGACCTGCCTCTCTGGGGACCTCAGTCTCCCAGAGGCCCCTCTGTAGCCCCAGTGTTTCTGCAGGACGCCTCATCAAGTGAGCGGATGGATGGGAACGGAGGGTCCCCGGCTCCCTGTGCCCTGGCATGGCCGCTGGCCCAGGAGGCCCCTCCTAGGAGCTGCCTGGGGTGAGGGCCTGCTGAAGGCCAGTTTCCAAGGTCAGGATGGCAGCAACCGCTAACACGGCACGGACAAAGCCGTGCTGGCAGCCTGCAGAGCCTGAGGGTGTTTACAGACCGTGCCCGGGGAGCAGCGCTTCTGCGTCCGTGCCTCCTGAAGAGGGCAGATGCAGTTAAACCAGGTGGCGCTCTTCTCCCCACAGCCTGGAGGACGTCCCGCCATGCCAGACGACCAGGAAGGCAGAGCCGCTAATGTAAATAGATAGTGTGATTAAAGAACACGACAATCTCAGGGCCAAAGCGCTCAGCTAGAAGAGCGTGACTTCAGGCAGTTGAGGATTTGTGGTGAGCAGGAGACTCGTTGAAATCATTGTTGCCACTGGGGCTGCAGTTAGGAAACAGATTGTCCTGCAGAGAGAGAGACACGCAGGGTGTGCGTGTGTGCGCGCGCATGTGTGTTCCTCAGTTTTTGGTTAGAAAAACAAGAGGAGAAAAAAAGCTGGCGATTTGTTGACACTCCACTCACAGGCCATTGGGAAAATGGCGAGATGGAGTCTCCTGGGCCTCTGGGTCCTGGTGTTCGGCTCCGGCTAGCACTGCCCTCTCCTGTTAAGAGCAGAGCCTGCTGCTGCCTCTTCATCCCAATTTGGGAAGGTTTCACTTTTCTCAAACGTGGAACCAGCCCCTCTCCGCACAGCCCTACATAGGGCTTGCCTCCCATCCCCACCTTCAGGCCACCCCCAAACGGTGACCATGCACCTCCAGGAGCCGTGTTCCCAAAGCCCAGACTCTCCAACTAAGAAACCCCGAGTGGGGGCCAGCCCGGTGGCGCAAGCGGTTGGGTGCGCGCGCTCCGCTGCGGCGGCCCAGGGTTCGCCGTTCAGATCCCAGGCGCGCACCGACACACTGCTTGGCAGGCCATGCTGTGGTGGCGTCCCGTGTAAAGTGGAGGAAGATGGGCACAGATGTTGGCCCAGGGCCAGTCTTCCTCAGCAAAAAAAGAGGAGGATTGGCAGACGTTAGCTCAGGGCTGATCTCCTCACACAAAAAAAAAAAAAAAGAAAAGAACCCCCGAGTGGGCTGGTCACCCCTGAGGCCTCCCTCTCCGGGTATGGGTTGCAGGGCCTAGGACAGAGGCGAGGGAGGGAGCGGGGAGCGTTTTAAACTTTAGAAAGCAGGAGACCTAGTCTGGGGGGTTGGTGTTTTTCTCTGTCCCCTGCTGGAACAGCGTCACTGAAGACGGCAGGGAGGTAGGGCAGGAGTCCCAGGCGAGCTGATGCAGCGGCACACACGGCTGCATGCCAGGGCTTTGCCCAACCCTCGGAGCGATTTCAGAAGACCTTGGCCCCCACGTTGCAAACTCTCATGGGAGAGGGGGGCACAAACTACAGCACCTCATTTTCCAACAGAGAAGGTTGAGGTGCCGTGAGATCTGTCCAAGCGGACCCAGAGACCCCAGGGAAGGCACAGATGGTCCTTGCCAGTCTGTACTGGTCACCAGAGGGCAGCCCCAGGGTGGGGCGCACACACACACATGCACAGGCACACACATACAGATGTGCACACATACACACACTTGTGCACACATGCACCAACAACATGCACACACATACACATACATATGCACACATGTATGTCCAGACACAAGTACGGGCACACATGCATATATCCCTACATGTACACATGCAAGCACATGTGTGCACGCACATATACACACATGCATGCACAGTGTGCATGAAACACATACATGCATGTGCACATGTATTGCATACACATGCATGCAGCCACACGTGTGTGCCCACAGACACACATGCATGCATGCCCACATACGCACGTGCACGCACGTATACAGACACACATGCATGCACATGTGCTCACATGAACACATACCCCACATACACACTTGCATGTACACACACACACACACACGTGTGCTCACATACACAAGCACAGGCTACTCCAATCACTGGGACCAGAAGCGCCCCTTGTCCTGCTCCCCTGAAACCGCAGAGTTTCCCGTAATTTCATATCGTATTTGTCTTTGCTTTCTGCTGATGTTTTAGGTGAGGTCTGCCACAAATCCTACACGCAGTTCTCCAACCTGTGCCGGCACAAGCGGATGCACGCTGACTGCCGCACACAGATCAAGTGCAGGGACTGCGGGCAGATGTTCAGCACTACCTCCTCCCTCAACAAGCACCGGCGCTTCTGCGAGGGCAAGAACCATTACACACCGGGCAGCCTCTTTGCCCCGGGCCTGCCCTTGACCCCCAGCGCCATGATGGACAAGGCCAAGCCCCCCCCCAACCTCAACCACGCTAGCCTGGGCTTCAATGAGTACTTCCCCTCCAGGCCACATCCCGGGAGCCTGCCCTTCTCCGCGGCCCCCCCGGCCTTCCCCGCGCTCACCCCGGGCTTCCCGGGCATCTTCCCTCCGTCCCTGTACCCCCGGCCGCCTCTGCTACCTCCCACGCCGCTGCTCAAGAGCCCCCTGAACCACGCCCAGGATGCCAAGCTCCCCAGCCCCCTGGGAAACCCAGCCCTGCCCCTCGTCTCCGCCGTCGGCAACAGCGGCCAGGGGGCCACGGCGGCCACGGGGCCGGAGGAGAAGTTCGAGAGCCGCCTGGAGGACTCGTACGCCGAGAAGCTGAAGACCCGGAGCAGCGACATGTCAGACGGCAGCGACTTCGAGGACGTCAACACCACGACCGGGACCGACCTGGACACGACCACGGGGACAGGTTCGGACCTGGACAGCGACGTGGACAGCGACCGCGACAAGGCCAAGGGCAAGGCGGCCGAGGGCAAGCCTGAGTCTGGGGGTGGCGCCGCGCCCCCGGGGGCCCCGAACAGCGTGGGCGAAGTGCCCGTCTTCTACTCCCAGCACTCCTTCTTCCCGCCGCCCGATGAGCAGCTGCTGACCGCGTCAGGCGCCGCGGGTGACTCCATCAAGGCCATCGCCTCCATCGCCGAGAAGTACTTTGGCCCCGGCTTCATGGGCATGCAGGAGAAGAAGCTGGGCGCGCTGCCCTACCACTCAGTCTTCCCCTTCCAGCTCCTGCCCAATTTCCCCCACTCCCTCTACCCCTTCACGGACCGCACCCTCGCCCACAACTTGCTGGTCAAGGCCGAGCCAAAGTCACCCCAGGACGCCCTCAAGGTGGGCGGCCCCAGCGCCGAGTCCCCCTTCGACCTCACCACCAAACCAAAAGAGGCCAAGCCCATCCTGCCTGTGCCCAAGGTGCCCCCGGCCCCCGCGTCCGGCGAGGAGCAGCCGCTGGACCTGAGCATCGGCAGCCGCGTCCGAGCCAGCCAGAACGGAGGGGGTCGGGAGCCCCGCAAGAACCACATCTACGGCGAGCGCAAGCTGGGGGCAGGCGAGGGGCTGCCCAAGGTGTGCCCGGCACAGCTGCCCCAGCAGCCCTCGCTGCACTACGCCAAGCCGTCGCCCTTTTTCATGGACCCCATCTACAGGTATTAACATGCCCTGCCCTCACCTGCCCTCCCAAAGGGGCCGACCCAGCTGGAGAGCTGGGCAGGTCAGCGTGAGGGAGGTGATGCTCTCTTGTGCTCCCCCAAGATTCATCCCTTTGCCTTTGCTGACCTCACGGGGGCGCCTGAGCTCTTGGGGGTCCCTGCTGCTCCAGAGGGCATGCCTGGCTTGGCGCATTCCTAGGGTGGGCACTTGGGAGGCTGTGGTAGGGCCTCCCAGACACACACACTTCCCCTTCGCTGACAGCCACTAGGCTACCCCCTGCCATGCCTTGAGCCCCTCCGGAGCCTCCACTCAGACCCACCCCAGAGGCCTTCCCACTGTCTCCCACTGTCTTCTCTGGACCAGCTCTGCCTCCCACACATCTCAGATCCTTGCTCTTTCCTCTGAGCATCTCTCCACTTCCCAGCGTCTCCGCTTCCCTGTGGCTGCTCTTGTGGCCCCCACCATCCCCCAGAGCCACAGCTGGGGGTTTCTGCTGGCCCAAGGGAAATCGGAGAAGGAGCCACTGGTCCCCAGAGCGGGGGAGGAGGAAGGAAGGAGGAAATTTTGGAGGTTTGCAAACAATCAATATCCCACCTCTGCTAGCCCTTCTGGGAAGGGGTGATGTAATCCCCCTCCCCAGTTTCTGGGCAGGCTCTGATCAAGTGGGCTGCTTAGGTGGGAGGGGTCAGACCCCGCCAGCACCATGTGTCCCCGGGGTGCTGGGCAAGCTGCGCCCTGAGGAAAGTGCTGTCTGTGCACGTGGGTGGGCTTGGGAGGGGTCCTGGAGGTGCCGGCAAACCAGCACAGGCTGTTGTAGCTGATACGGGCCTCCGCATCCATGTGAGAGAGGCCCTGTGCGCACGCGTGTGCACGCATGCACTGGCTTGTGGAGAGCCCAGGAGCATGTGGCCACCTTGAGGTCCTGAGCGCCTGCTGTTCCCTGGCATGGGGGTGGGCACGTGGCTGAGGAGATCACACCTGCTGAGGTCCATGTGGGAGAAAATGATGTCAAGCCAGGCAGAGCTGCCAGCCGAGGGGGAGACGGGCTGGCCTCCCGCTCTGCCCACCAGACCAGCACACCCACACGGGCCCCCGCTCTCCATGCTCCACGCCCGTGGCCCTAGCCGGACTGTGTCTGCAGCCCGTCCTGTTTCCTGCCCTGTCCTGAGGTCAGCACCACGGGAAACGTGAAAAATGCCCTGTTTAGGTATTTCTTTACAAACACACCATCTGTAGATGGTCTGACAACGTGGACTGGAGGCTCGGCAGAGAGGGGATCGCTTTCATCTGTCGAAGGCAGCTCCTCGACTTTCTGGGTCAAATGTGGCCGTCAAAAGGCCCAGGAAGCACTTGCTGGTTAGCATAAGAATCTCCAGGAGCCCAGGCGAGGCCAGGAGACAGCTGGGATGTGAGAGAGGAGGCGTCCATGGGACGTGCGGCCCTTGTGCAGAGGATGCGAGGGGGTGATTGGAGACCAAGGGACAAAACCTTCTGGTCAGGCCCCCAGAGTTGGAACCAGTAGGCATGCGAGGCTCTCAGTTAACCTTCTCCTGCTCCCCCCAGCCTCCTCCAGCCCCCTCCTCTCCTCCTCGTCCTCCCCATCCCAGCTCTCCTTCTGGCCCTTGTCTGCCCCTCTGCACTTCACTCTCCAGGCATCCCTCCCTCAGCCCCTCTTGTCCCCATTCTTGGCCTGGTTTAGGGCTTGGGCCTTTTCCTGGAATTTTGGGGAGCAGGGAAGTGGGATTGGGCCTCAGGGCCCCCCACCGTCTGAGCTCCTCTGAGACCCAGCATTCCTGGGCTCTTGCCCTGGGGGTTTAGGGTCCAGCACCTGCTGGAGGGGCTGCCTGGGCCCCACCTTTGCACGCAGACACTAGCAGACACCCCAGTGTGGGTGAGCTCCACACGGTCTGCCTGCTACCCCAACACAATCAAGGTAGACAAACGCACGTGGTGGAGGTTTCTCCCCAAGTGAGCGTGGGCAAATGAACTGCCCGTGAACAGGCTGTGCCCCGGGGCTGGGGGACAGGGTCCCCGTTGGCTCCTGGGTGGTCCTGAGGGTGACTCTAGCAAAACTCCCCACAGGCCATTCCCCGTGGGTGACCCTGAACGTGTACCCACAGTCCTCCATCCCCCTAACACTGCCCAGTCAGCTGCCCTGACTCTCCAGCCCCTCTCACCTCCCTCCCCATCACATGGCTGCTGTGTCTGCAGGATGGGCTGGTGACGTAAGCCAAGCACCTTGGAGACCCCATGCTCACTGGGAGTCACTAGGGTCAGCTGGCCTTGGTCGCTTGGGAGCCAGCCTGGTGGAACTGCCACGTGACACAGAAAAAGGCAGAAGAGATGGAGCCAAACCTGGCCCTCCTCCTCCCACAAGGGTCCCCCTCCTCTCGGCCCAGCCCACCAACCCTGCAGTGTCTCTGAATCCGACACAGTCCCACTTTGAACGGGGCCTCGGTGGAGGCCTGCAGAGTGAGGTCCCTCCAGGCTGATTTCCCACACAGGGATATGGCCTCTCCCAGAGCCACACGTGTGGTCCTTTATTTTATTCCTCCGGGAGGGAATCTTCCCACAGCTCGTTGTGCAGCCCCCCCCTTCTCCCTCCTGGACCAGGCTCATGGTCTCCGTGGGGTGACCTGCAGCCTCGCCCTGTAGGGGAGGCTCCTACCTCTGGCCCTCCGGGGTGGCAGTGCTGTCCCCCTGCGGCCATACCCTGTCCTGCTCCAGTCAGTGCCCCAGCTGGTCCACTGGAGGCTAGAGTGAGATGAGCATGGAGCCCAGCAAGGCCCGGGCACAAAGGGAACGGGAGCATCCAGCTCAGGACTGGTTCAGAGGGGCTGTTTCTGTGTGCGGAGAGGCACAGTGTCCCCAAAGCGCCGGAGACGCTGCGAAACAGGCTCACAAATCACGCTTTGTAAATCTCAGCCCCCATGGGGAGACTGAGGCAGGCGTTGCTGGGAAACGGTGAGAGGAGGAATCGCTGGGTGCCACCCACCCACCTCCTCTGCTTGTTTTGTGATGAACAGAATTGTCACTGGCATTGGGGGAAGGTTCTAGAACTGTCATCTCAGCAGCCATCACGAGTTTTTAGGCAGAGCCTGCCTGGCTGCTATGGGAGGCCCTGGTGACTTCCCCAGGACAGAAACTTCTTGGTCACTCGACTGGTCAGCCCAGTCGGCAAAGGGCTAGGAGAGACAGGGAAGGCGGGGTGTAGGCGACAGCCTCCCGTGTGCTTCACGTTCTGCTGCAGGCCAGCCAGGACCCTGACAAGGTCAACCCCTCAAGGGCTGACGGGCCTGTTGGCAGAGGCTGATGTGCTCAGGGCCTTCAGAGAAGATTCTGGACTCCAGCATTAAGCATTCATCACGTGCATGGGTGCCAGCAGCTGCAGTGGTGGGGGCGACGTGCAGGGACTCGAAGGGGTCCAGAAGTGGGTGTGGTGATGGGGGGCACATGAGAGAAGCAGAGCGAGAGTGTCAGGCGCGGGCAGCGGGCTGGGAGGGTCCCGTAGGCGAGCAGGTGGGCCGGGTCACGGATGTCGCCACGGCCCTCTGGTGAGACGTGGTAATCGGGGAGCCACGGAAGCTGGACCACCGTGGCGAGGTCCTCACGCCTTGTGACCAGTGGTGCTCGGGAGGGCGTCGGGGGGGGCGGGGGCACAGCCCCTCCCGGCCTGGCGCTGGCTGCTCGGTGGGGTACGTAACCCTCTGTGCTGCTGTCCAGCAGGGTGGAGAAGCGGAAGGTGACAGGCCCCGTGGGCGTCCTGAAGGAGAGGTACCTGCGGCCATCCCCGCTGCTCTTACACCCCCAGGTAAGACCCGGGGGGCCGGGGCCAGGTGAGGGCTCCTCTCGGGACCCCCATTCTGAGGCCCTCTGTCCGGGGCTGCCCCAGGCTGTACACGGCTCTTTGAGGGGTGGGAACCCCAAGGTTCCACCCAAACCAAGCCACGCTCCCAAGGGGGGCCATGTGCACGGTGGCCCCTTGGCACTCCGGGCCGTAGCTTCCCGGTCCAGGAGGGCTCTCTCCCTGCCGACCCCATGGGTGCCTGTGAGGCTGGAGAGGATGAGAAGGGCCAGGGGAGGTGAGGAAGGAGGGGGGTCCTCGGTAGGGGCAGCCCCGTGGGTCCCTCGGAGGCAGCGAGGACCCTGGCTCAGGGAAGGCTCACTCAGCCACAGCTCCAGCTCTAGGAGGGGGAACGAGCCTCGTCGGGGCGGGGGACAGAGAGGGATGGAGTGAATCCAAGAAATTTGAATGTAAGGGGAATAGACTCGGGACACAGCCCCGAGGTGTGGACATGAGCAGGCTTTTCTGGGGTGCGCTGGCCTTGAGAGAGCTCACGAGAAAAGACCAGGAGAGGAACAGGCTGAGTGACGAGGGGGACAAAGCGAGCAGGAGGAGGTGGGGGGCAGGAGAGAAGCAGAGGGACCTACATTGAGGGCGGAGGGTCCCAAGAGGTGGGAGGCTGGCGGGGCGCCCTCCCCTGGGCCACAGAAGGTGGCAAGGCCGTCCACCAAGACTAGAGTCGGGGTCTGGGGAAGAGAATGCAGACCCCACCAAGCCTACAGGCGCTTGGTCTGCCCCTCCGGCCACCTCCTCCCAGGGATGGGCACAGAGGGGCGGCAGAAGCCAGGGTGAGCAGCAGGGCCCAGCAGAGTCTCCCCCATTCCCTGCCCCGTGTGCCCACGTGTGGTCACTGCCCTGGGGCCCAGCCCCTTCCCCAGAGCCACAGGCCGCTGCCCCCTCCCCCAGGGTCCTGGAGCTGAGCTGTGGGGCGGGCCTGAACCCAGACTCCAAACTGGACCATTGTTCTCTTTCTCCGCGATTCCCGCCTTGGACAAACACCCCAGTTTGTGAAACCCACTCCCTGCCCAGGTTCACAGCTAAACTTAGCGCCTCCCATTGTTTCGTGGGGGCCTCGGAGTTTGGTGAATAACTTCCCTCGATTTTCCTCGGGACGGGCTGGAAAAAGCTGACAAGCCGTCCAGGCGCATCCTGTGTTTGTGTTTGTGGGGGAGCTCCGCAGGCCGGGAATATCTGATCGGGCGGAGCAGGCCAAGCAGCCTGGACTGGCGGGCGGCCTCCGTGAGACCCACCCTGGCCTGAGGAAGAGAGGCCCGGTGGGAGGGCCGGCCGCCCATGGTCCCTCCTGCCTGCTCCCCTGGGCCCTGCCACCCCTGCTGCCTGCCCTGTGGGCCCAGAGCCAGGTGGTGGGGGTCAGAGATGACCAGTAAGTTACCTAGTTAAATGGTCCAGGGTCAGGCCATCACTGAGGCAGAAAGCACTGATAACTGATGCTCTCTACAAAGTACGGGGTCACTGCTGTAGAAGATGTCGGCCTGCGCTGGTCAGGTGCCAGGCAGGACATTGTCAAGGCCTTCCACTTCTGAGGCCCAACATGCAGGTGTGCAGCCCCCGGGGTTCAGGGTGAGGCAGTGCTGCCCAGCCACAGCCCCTCACCACCCCTGGGGGTCCTAGGAGTCTGAGGTGGTGGAGAGTTCCAGGGCCTTCCAAGGCTATGGCTAAAGCTGAGACCTGCAGGCAGATGGGCATCGGTCTGTGCATGTGGGGTGCCATCATCCAGGCGTAGAGGGGGCGGTGAGGGGCTGGACAGCGGCCGGGGGGCAAGACAATTTCCATCTGTCCATCAGCAGAGATGGGGAGGGCAGCTCACAGTGGGAAGCATCCGGTGTCTGAGGACGGAGTGTGCCTACCCCATAGGGATGGCCAAGCTAAAAGCCCTGCCACCTGGGCCCAGCTGGCTGGGGGCCAAGGTGGCAGCCCAGGGTCACAGGGAGGCCTCGGCCATTTTCTATTCGTTAACCTCTTTCTGGGTGTTTTTATTGCAACCAGTTGGTTGTTCCCCAAATTGCAAAATATCTCCACCACTGATGTGCTGTGGCCTCCGAGTAGCGTTGGTGAAGAGCCCTCTGTCCCCACCAGCAGTCCTCTGATTGGGTACCTGGAGAACAGGGCCCCACAGAGGTGAGGGCCTGGCACTGGATGGGGTGGAGGAGCAGGGCTCGCTAGAAGACCCCTGGCAGTGAGACACATGGTTTAGTTCACTGGTGGCCGAGGTTTTGCAGTAAATGAGCAAGGATCCTCCTCCGAGTAGTTGGCATTAGCATTGCTCAGAGACAGCGAGTACTGAGTGAGGGGCCCTGGTGTGGTGCAGCCGGCCACTCCTCCGCCTCCCTCACCTCGCCCACTCACACCCGTTCTTCAGATGCTGGCTGCCAGGGGTCCACCATGGTACCATGGCCAGTTTCTCCCAGTGATCAAAGCACTTGGAGAAACACAAGCTCTTCCTCCCGTCTCCATCTCCATTCCCACCCTGCCCTGCCCTCCTCCTCCCTCCTGCTCCCCACACCACCATCCGCTCCTCTGGGGTCTCCCAGGTGAAATGCACTCCTGTAAATATTTGTTTAGCAAAGGTATATGGAGAGCCTGCTGAGGGCTGAGCCCAGCTGGGCCCTGGGGACACCGGCCCCACCTTCGAGGGACTTAGTGACTCCTGCCAAGACCCAGGCTTGCTCCTGGAATTCCCTTTGTTAAACATAAACCCTGAGGGGCTCTGGGCATAATGAAAGCTCTTCCTGTGCAGGCCCGCCCCAGCCTCCCACAGGGCCCAGTGCACAGCAGGCACTCTTGGGGCAGCCCACCTCCATGGGGGGAAGGAGAGCAGGGGAAGTGCTCCTGAGACCTGTGCAGCTCCGTCAGCCCCGTTCCCCCTCCAGTCCCCAAGCCCCAAGGCCTTGAGGGGAGGCACAGTCTGGGATTCTGGTCAGAACTCTGCCCACCAGGGGGAGATGACCAATGCCATGCTCCCTTCTCCTCCCCAAGCAAGTCCTTGGCATCTCCAAGAAGCAGAGAGGTGGCTTCTTTTGTCCATCAGATGTCCTGTGCCATGTAACATTGGCATTATCATTTTAAACATTCGGTTAGTGGGATCCAGTCTTGGGCTATTTTAGTACTTGGCCTGCAATTATGGCCTACTGCCTCTAGGTGGTGGTGGTGCCCCAGGCCAGTGGTCCATGTTTTAATCTGAGATTCAGGTAGCTATCTTCATATTTCAAGACTCAAAAAAAAAATCTGGATAAAATTCTGTCTTTAACCCAAACTAGCCAACCAGTTCTGGCCAGGGGTCAAGCCAGTGGGGCACTGCTGGCTCATTTCCAAATAAGGAGATGTGTGACCACTCATGTCCACCAAACCAGGCAGTGAGGCTGGCTGGTGACGGTCAGTTCCACCTCCCACAGCCTAGACACTACACCATAAGCAGGGCTCCAGGGAAGGACGAGAGCAGGGCTGGCCGCAGAAAGTGAAAGAATCTAGCCCAGTGGCCAAGATGATGCCAGGAGACCACTGGTTCCAATGACGGCCTGAGGGCCCGCATGGCCTTGTCCTGGCTTGGTCAACTGATGTGCTCAGTTGTCGAGGACCCCCATATGCCCGTGGGGGTGGGTCGGTGCTCCTCAAGAGAGATGATGGCTCAGGGGAGTCCCGCAGCCTCTCCCGCTCTCATACCAACAGATGTCAGCCATCGAGACCATGACAGAGAAGCTGGAGAGCTTCGCGGCCATGAAGGCAGATTCGGGCAGCTCCCTGCAGCCCCTCCCCCACCACCCCTTCAACTTCCGGTCCCCGCCCCCGACGCTCTCCGACCCCATCCTCAGGAAGGGCAAGGAGCGATACACGTGCAGGTGAGATGTGGCCAGCCTCTGGGAGCTGGTGGGGCGGCCCTGTTAAGGTGGCCACAGGTGCCGCACTGCAGCCTGTGAACCTTTGCATTCAGGAAAAAGCTCTCAGTCACAGTCAAAGTACAGCGTAGTAGCAAGAAACAGTCCGTTACCCACTTGAGGTCATTCCCCGGAAATATGCATGTGTGGGTGACCTCCCCCTGCCCCCACTGAGCTGTGTTCATGTGAGTGCAAGAAAGTGCAACCTTGGTCTAGCCAGTCGGTATTCGGAAGGCCTGAGGCCCAAGTGTACTGGTCAATGTTTAACCACAGCTCTGGGAGGGAGCAGAAAACCTAGCACTGGGAAGACAGGTGCCGTGTCTGTCCCCAGCTGTGTGGGCCTGTCCAGGCCAGTCCGAGCTAGCTCAGCCACCGTTGGGCATTAGGGCTGAGATATGGCTTGGTCGGGGGTCACGGCCTGAGCGGGCCGGAGTAGGCCGGTCAGGCTTCTCTGTGAAACTCAGCTGGGCCCCAGGGCTGAAGGAGTGACTGAAATCCAGGATGCTGCCACCTGGCCACCTGCCTCCCAGTTGTGTGACCTCAGGCCCTAGACGCCAAGTTGGAGGAACCACTCCCAAGTCTACGGCAGCATGCCTAACAGTGTCCCCACCCCCTCCACCCCAGGTACTGTGGCAAGATCTTCCCCCGATCGGCAAACCTCACGAGACACCTGAGGACACACACCGGGGAGCAGCCATACAGGTAGGAGCCAGCTGGGTTTGGGTTGGGAGAGGCAGGCTCCTGGTGGGACCATCCCCCGTCCCACCCACAGGAAGGGCAATGGCTGGGAGCCAGCATGCTTGCGTCAGGTCGTTCCTGGGGCCCCTCCCTCCTGGCTCCGCAGCCATCCTGCGTCCTGGGATGTTGCAAAGACTAGGCAGGAGGTGCCCAGCGGGCTTCCGGAAGGCCCCTGCCTGCTCACAGAGGAGAATCACCGGGAGCAGTTCTCCCTCCTACTGCTGGGGTGTCAGCTGGGGCAGGGGGCTCAGAGGAGGGTCAGCCAGAAGCCAGGAGCCCAGGGATGGTCTGTTGGAGAAGCCGCAGCTTCACCGCCACCCAGTCCAACTCTTTTCCTCTTATGATGGCCATGGAGGACCTAACCCCAGGCGGTGGACCAGGGTGGGCACCTAAGACAGGAGGGCTTGTCTCAGAGGAAAAGGAGCTCCATGCAAGTGCGCTTCCCAGCCCAGGCTTGGGGGCCCCTGAGGGATTCGCTTGGGTCCCTTTGACTGCCCTGGATGGAAACCATGTGTCTGCTCCCCACCTCCCTCAGTGCTTGGGCTGCTGCCTGCAGAGAGGCAGCCACACAGCACGTTGTGGGTGTGAGAGCCATTGCCTTTCTTGTTCACAACAAGTAGGGGCATCATCCACGTTTCAAAGACGTGGACCCCAAGGCTCAGAGGCACCCCATGACTTGCCCGAGGTCCGAGCCCATGGCTTAGCATTCTGGCTCCAGGAGAAGCAGTACCAGTTCCCTTGGTCCCTGGGGCCTTCATCAGGCAGGAAAAGAGCTGAGGGTGACACCCTGGCTTTCAGGGACCCCACCCAGGGAGGGGCCTGGGAGTCAGCATTTTAAACAAGACCCCGGGGGATGGTGACTCTGGGGCAAAATGCTGGTTCAGATGCCAAGACGTCAACCTGGGGTGTGTCTGGTGAACAGCAGCCGTGGGGAATAAGGAGTTTGGCATGGTTTTAAGTTGGCAGCATAAGATTCCTGTACTCTGGCCACACCGAGCTTGGGGTCACCAACTGGCTCTGGAGATTAGGTGTATGTATAAGCAGGTGTGTCCCCCAATCCTTGGGGAAGGCGGCCACCTGGGACCCTGCACGTGTTGTGGTCCCCACACATGCCCTACTCCGAGACATAGCAGGCATCCTTGACCGCCACAGGGTCACATCCTGTCCTGGCTGGACAATGACGGCTCATACCACTTTACCAGTTGTCTGGTCGGTGACCCCAGCCTCTCCCCAACACACAGGCCCCTCTCTTCCCCCTAAAAAAGTGACTTATATGTTAACAAAGGCTAACAACAGAAAAATTGATTTGGTCTGGTCCACTCCCCGAAAACGAGCTGTGTGTTTGTCCTGTAACAAGACTCGACTTCTGGACCATGTTGCATGTAAGGGCCCCCAGAGAGTTGGACCGTGTTTATAGAGAATTTAATTATCATTGATTTCTTTTGCTCTCTCCAATCTGTGAGTTTCATCTTGTGGAACAATAATTGCTTTGAAAGTTTGTGTTGCAAATCCTGACTTTCTCTGGCTCAGGGTGGCCCTGTGATGAGGAGTTTGGGGTATATGACTTTCCTTCTGACATCACTAGGGGCTCTGGGCTCACCCTGATCATTGGAAGGATTTAGGTTGAAAGAGGAAAATACGCATACCTGTCCACAGACACCCACGAGCTGGGCACGGGCCCCCCGGAGGAGAAGGAGCCCCTGCCCCAGCTAGGCTGATTAAAACTGCCTGCTGCCCCCTGCCTCGGGTGAGCTCTGCCCTGGGCCAGTGCCCTCATGTACGTGGACAGAGGCTGGGCTGACGCAGGCCCCGCGCAGGCAGGAGGGAGCAGGGCTTTTCAGGGCTGCCCAGAGTGACCGACAGTCAAACCAGAGGACTCTGGAACACTCTTCCTTTTTAAGTTCTCGCTTCAGATCATCTAAAATCACTTGGAATGTGTTTCAAAGTGCTGACGTGGGAAAGAAAGACCCCGTAGTGAGACTGGTACATTTCTTGGAGGGACGGTCAAACCTCCTGCCCGGCCCGCCCGGCCAGCGAGCCGTCCTCGGCTGACAGCTTCTCCTGGCTTAGAGATCCTCGAGTGATGACACTTTTATTTCTTAAAGCTCTGGTGTGAAGGGCTTGTTGCAGTTTGGGTTGGAGATATATAAACGTTGAATTGGAAAGGAGGGGACCTGCTTCCTTCACCTGTCCTGGCAGCTGTGCTCGGGGATTCCCTCCAGGATGCTGCCTAGTAGGGCCTCGAGTCACACTGTGGATGCGAGCCTTCGAGGGCTGCCCTGTGGGCTCCCAGCGGGACCTGGGATCCCTGCTTTCAGGACACAGGGCTCTGGATCTGCAGTTCGTTTCCTCCTGGGCTCGCGTCCTGTGTTAACCCAAAATGCCCCAGCCAGGTCCAGTTACAGTTTCCATCACGGGCTGTGGGGCCCATACGTGTCCTCTTTCTTGGTCAGTTTTATTTTTAGGGCTAGGTTTCAAAATCTCTTCTTCCTTTCCCTTCCCCCCTTTTACAGTTACCAAAAGGATTTCTGTCTGTGACTGCTGAGGTGGCCCCACTGGGTCCCGGGGAGGACGCTGCTGCCCGCCCAGGGGCCATTTCACCCTCTCCACCCGTGCTGTATCTCCACTGTGCCCGGCTTCCCTGGGGCTGCGGCAGATGCAGTCACAGCAAGGTCCCCTCCAGGCCCTCAGCTGCATGCCGCAGTGGCCGGCCCGCTCTAGGCTCTCTCATTCCTGCCGCGGTGCAATGGCATGTTATTCTAGACAGTGCAGCCATAAATTTCACCAGCCGCCTGTCAGCTTATTTACAACGCAAACCCCAGCTGCTCGGAGAAGCCTGCTCCCTCGCAGTCTGGGACCACTGCTCCCCTGGATGTCAGATGGACTTCTCTGTCCGGGCCATTTATTTAGATTAGAACCAGGAGAGGGCCGCACTCAGTCCAGGCCATTTATTTAGATTAGAACCAGGAGAGGGCCACACTCAGGACTCGCTGTGACCAAATCCAGTGCATGGCTCCCTCTGCAAGACACCCGGCCCCACAGAGGGTGGAGAGAGAGCCCTTCCAGGGGAACCCTGCTCTCCGTTTCTGGGAACAAGCTCCTTATCCCATCCCATTTCTTACTCAGGATTCCCATGACTCAGAGTTTATGCAGCAGCCGTTTGGTGAAATTTGTCAAAGGCCCCTGCATTTCCCAAGAAAGTGGGAACACTGTGTGTGCGAGTGTGTGCAAGTGTGTGCGAGGGCACATATAGACAGAGGGTGGGCAGACAGCTCAACCCAGTGGGAAGCCTGTTGGGTGGGCAGGAGGTGAATGCCCAGACCTGGGCTGGGGGCCAGCTTGGCCTTGCATTTGGTTCTTTCTGAGCGATCGCCCTGAAGAGCAGAATGGTAGTCTGGGAGCCTGGGACCACTGGGGGTTGGGGGGTCTGTAAGTTTAAGGATGTGTCTGCAGGGGAGTGAGACAGTGCATTCTGGGATGTAGAATTCCCCCTCTCTGGACTGCTGTGTGGGGAGTGCCGGGTCAGGGGGTGCCCGAGCATCTCTGACCTGGCCTCAGAGAGGGCTCGAGCCTGGCCCACTCCTCCTCACTGTGCAGGCCGAGAAGAACAGAACAGCCAGTGCCTGTGTAGGCTTCCAGGATGGTGGGTCCAAGTTGGGGCTCCAGACCATCACGAGGCTGCGGGAGGAGAGGCTGTGACCGAAGCCTGGAGCTCCCAGGGGCCCGAGGCAGCTCAGCCAGGCTGAGGAGGAGCAAGGCCCGACAGGCCCATCCTGGGGACCGAGGAGCAGAGGAGGCCCAGTCATTCAGGAGGAACCCAGGGACCGTGGCCCCAGGAGTCAGTGTCCAGATCACTAATAGCTCTTCTCGTGTGTTGTGGAGGAAGCCAGAGTTAGCCTGCTCAGGCAAAATTTGGAAGCTTCGGGAACTGCAGGAATGAAGCCCCAGAATCACACTATGAGAGACCTGGGGACACCTTTTAACATGCCCCTCCTTGTTCTGTGGGACCATCATCAAACTGCCCAAGTATGATCCAGCAGGCTGGGGTCAGCGGTGACTCTACGCCTCCTGGGACAGAGTCTCACGAAGCTGCCACCCTTTGTGCGGGGAAAGCTTAGCTCCTGGGCCTGGGCAGCCCGTGGGGCCTACAGCTTCCTGCCTCAGAGAGGCTCTGGGGTGCGTGGTTGGTCGATCAGGTTCCCCGGGCAGGGCCAGGTCTCTGACAGTCACAAGTTGGGCAGGCGCCACCATGCTGGGCAGGGTGGCACTGTTAAGGTCACTTTCGCACAGCCCCTGCTGGCCTGGCCCTGGGTGGGAGGCCTGGACTCCCGGAGTGTCCTCAGGCACGTCTGTATCCACGTGATTCGGTGCGCGTGACCAGCCTGCTGGGCTGGAGCTCGGCCACCAGCCCCAATCGGGGTTGGGGTGGGGCCCCCCAGAGGAATGCCAGGCTGCACACTTAGGACAGGCCCCCCCCCCAGAGGTCACCCCTCTGGATGAACATAAATCTCAAGCCCCGCCAGGACTGGCTGCACAGATGCTGTCTCCTGAAAGGCCTGACCGGCCAGGGTCCTGCTGCGCTTGCCTCTTGCCTCTCTGTGGAAGGTTGTTTTATTTCCAAAATAGGAAAATACATGAGCACATAGACAACTGTTTCAAGTGCTCACGTGCCTCTGAGCCTCAGATAAGCATCCCTGGAGGAGTTCTGAAGACCAGGTGTGTGAGAGTGTGCACACAGACACACATGCACACATATGCAAATACACTACACACGTGCACACAGCCCACAGGTGCGCACGCCTGCGTGCATGCACATGCACACACCTGCACACGTGCGCATTCAAATAAGCACACACATGTGCGTACACGTGCATGCTAGCACACATGCACTGCGTGCACGCACACCTGCACATGCCCACACACGCACACAAGTGTGCAACTGAAAACCACTGAGTCGGGGTTCCTTCTGCTGTCATCCAGCGGGTGCGCAGAGCAGGTGGGAGCGCCTGTCGGTAAGCGATCGCTGGCTTCTGCGTGGACTTCTGCCCCAGGAGGAGGCAGCATGTGTGTGTGTGCAGACCACAGTCGCAGGTGCCTTCTTGATCATCACTCTCCCCGGCCCCTGGCTCTCCCTGTTTCTGGCTTGACTGTCCTGCCCCTCGGCACATGGATGCTTTGGCCCTGGCTCTCAGTGCCCCTTCTATAAAGAGGAGAGAATAGCCCTCCCTTTCCCCGCCTCCGGGCCTCTGAGCATGGTCGTGAAGGCTGTGCCCACACAAGGGACCCACACCTAAGAGGGCAGGTGGAGGTCGGAGACGTCTTAGACTGTTTACCATGACCTTTCCTGGCAGAGAAGCACTGTGTCCTGATAACTCAGAACATGTCACAACAGTCTTCTGACAGGTGCGGCTGAAGTATCTGGAGGAAGGAGCCTCTTTTTCTAATTTTCCCAAGTGTGCGGTACAGGCTGGCATCGGGTGCCCACTGCAGAGGGGCGCAAAGATGAACTGAGCAGGCGGGGCTGGCACACCCTCCACCAAAAGGGGAGGGTGTGGTTGTTTGTGGTCTGTGTAGAGGAGGCAGCCTGACAGTGGGCAAGGCTGGGGAGCCCCCCTCGCCTTCAGGGCAATTAAGGAGCTAACGAGCATGCCCCAGGCAGCCCCTCACACCCCCAGTTAATGGATTGGCAAGCTGAGGCCCAAGGTGAGATGGGGCTTGCCCAAGGACCCACCAGGAGGGGGCCAGGACCAGGCCAGCTCTCCCCATGCCAAGGTGGGGGTCTCTGCCCTGAGGAAAATTGCAGGCAGCGGGCTCTGGGCTCCTCCTCCCAGGAAAACCAGAGCATCTTTCCATGGTGTGCGGCTGCCCCCTTGAGGCTGCCAGGAGCATGCCGCCCTCCGGCTGCGGACCGGCCAGGCCTGGGGCCTCCACGCTGGGGGGACCCAGACACCAGAGAGGAAGTGAGGCGCTGGAGGGCCCCGGGCACTGCACATCCAGGGGCACAGGCCCAGAGGGAACCCTTCCTCCAGCCCAGGGCCACATTCCAACACGACCCCGCCCACAGGCCAAGAGAGGGCGAACCCCTGCTTCTTTGGCAGTGGCTGTTTCTAGGCACAGCTTCACCATGACCAGCTCTCAAGCTGGGTGACCCAGGGGCCTCAGGGGGGTCTCTGAGAGGCCATGAGAGGGGGCAGCAGAGGCCTGGCTTCTGTCCCCACCCCCACCTCACTTGGCTCCCAGAGCCCAGTCTCTCCAGGGGACCCGCATGCGTCTGGTCCATGCGGGGCAGACCCGGGGGTCTCTGAGCCGCCTGTGTCTTCCAGGTGTAAGTACTGCGACCGCTCCTTCAGCATCTCCTCCAACCTCCAGCGGCACGTCCGGAACATTCACAACAAGGAGAAGCCGTTCAAATGTCACCTGTGCAACCGGTGCTTCGGGCAGCAGACCAACCTCGACAGACACCTAAAGAAGCACGAACACGAGCATGCTCCAGGTGGGCCCCGCCAGCGGGCAGGGGGCACCATCCCCCAGCACCACCACAGCGGGGCACGCCAGGCAGGCCCCACAGACGTGGTGGTTGAGTTCAGGAGCAGGGAAGGGAGGACTTGAAAGACGGGGAGCGACTGGGAGAGATGTGAGGTGGAGGAGGCACAGAGGAGGGAGGGAAGGGAGGGCCAGCCAAGAGTGGTCCCTCCTCTGATGCTCCCCCATCCCTACAGTGAGCCAGCACTCCGGGGTCCTCACGAACCACCTGGGGACCAGCGCCTCCTCTCCCACCTCCGAGTCAGACAACCACGCACTTTTAGACGAGAAGGAAGACTCTTACTTCTCTGAAATCAGAAACTTTATTGCCAATAGTGAGATGAACCAAGCGTCAACGCGAACAGACCAACGGTAAGAAACCCACCCATGGCCCCGGGGGTCTGGACCCCATAGCCCACCTGTGTGGCCGCATAAAGCAGGGACCTCACCCCAGCCCCCGAGCAGGTATACATTACCCCAGCCCCCGAGCGGGCACCTCACCCCAGCCCCCGAGCGGGCACCTCACCCCAGCCCCTGAGTGGGCACCCCACCCCAGCCCCCAAGCAGGTATACCTCACCCCAGCCCCTGCGCAGATACCCAACCCCAGCACCATCTCCCCAGCCACCCCTGGACAGGGACCTGGGGCCCACAGCAGAGAGTGAAGCCCACGGGCTCTGCAGCCAGTGCCCATTCCCGCCCCAGCTCTGCCACCTGGAAACTGGGGGAGCTTCAGCAAGGGGCTCCTCCTCCCTGCCTCAGTTTCCCCATCTGAGAGGGTGGTAAGAGTGGCTCCCCTGACTGATGATGCGCACGCACTCAGTGTAGCGCCTGGCACATGGTCCTAAATGGCAGCCAGCCCGGTTCGGCCTTGATGTCAACAGATGTGCGGCGCTGACTGCCAGGTGAGGCTCCCGTGCGTTCCAGGCCTCTGAACCTGTGAACAGCTTCATCTAATCTGAGGCACTAAAGGTTCCCAAACCAGAACACTGCCCCTTTAAACACACACGTGTGCACACACACATGTGTACACACACATAGGCAGAAAAATGGCAGAATTTGGATTCAATGGCATGGAGGGTGTTCTGCACAACCTGGAATCCCAAGGCTCAGGGTGCAGCATTTCCTCCGGGGCGCCCTTCTGGAGACCCCAGAAAGAGGCTCTCCTTGGCTGAAAGTGGGTGCCCAACTAGCTAGCAGAGAACCAAACACGCCCCAAACTCCAAGAGGCCTAAGAGATGCAATCTCCTAATTTTGCAAACATGAAATGAGGCCCAGAGAAGTGGCGTGCCTTGGCTTTTGGGGTGCCAACACAGCTGGGCCCTGAACCTGGAGCCAGAGCCCCAGCCTTATGCTGGCTGTGGGTGAGCTGTCGCTCTGCGACCCCCAGGGCCCGGACCCTCCCCACCCGCCTCCAGTAAGTGAGGAGGGTCCCCCACGAGACATGAGACCCGGCTCCCCAGGAGCCTGTCTGCTCCTCCAGGGCCGGCTTGTCTTCCTTGTCATTGGTGCTCCCAGGGGACAGGGTGGGGGCACTGGGAAGACCTGTCACATGGAGAGACGAATGTGGCACTTGGACCGTTTCTGGCACTGCCGAGTCCTAAATCCGTGCCCCCAGGAAGTGCTCTCACTCACCTGCTGGGCCTCAGCATCTTTCCCCCTCAGAGCTGGGTGGGCTCACAGAGGGCACAGTAAGAGAGGCTGGCCCTGGGCTGCGCCTCCCAGAGCCCCACCCTGCCCGGCAGTGGAGAGTCAATGGGAGGACAGCCCAGCCCGCTCTGCAGGGAAAAGTGCCCGTGTCCTCCGCCTCGGGCACGTGTGCGACGGTCTCTCGGGAGCCCAGCCCCTGCTCTCTGGGGACACCACGCCCGCATTCAGGCAGTGCTCTGCGGCTCTGTTCAAGAGCTGTCAGTGCTTCAAGCGAAATGTCACAGACGTGAGCACCCAGGTCCCAGGCCTTATCGAAGCCCCACAGCCAGGCCACGAGGCACGTCCTGGCTGTTAAAAACAAGCCCCTAAACTGTGGGTCCCCGTGCCCAGGGCAGAGCCAGATGAAGAACTGACAAGGATTTGTCAAGGGCATCCTCCTTGGAGCGGGCAGCTGGCCTGGGTGGGCCCAGGAGTTCCGGAAAGGCCTCCAAGCCCCAGGTGGCAGGCCCGGCTCTCAGCCACAAGGAGGGCTCTCCACGAGACCCACCAGGGAAAGGGGCTGTCCCCAGAGGGAAGAGGGGACGGCACCATCCTAGTCACTCCTCTTTGCCACAACCATGGCTTTATCCACAGCCCCCGGGGGAGGGGGCAGTAAGTGAGGCTCAGACAGAGGAGGAGGCAGGCCCCAACTCCCTCAGAAAGCACAGGGCAGAGCCGGGCCGAAAACCCAGGCCCTCAGACCGCCTGTCCTGCTGACACCTCGTCCCAGGAGCCAGGGAGCCTCACAGGAGGTGCCTCCTCATTGTTGGAAGTGGGAACCATGTCATGGTTGACACGAATCAGCCAACCTGTGTCAAGTGACGGGACATCGAAGTTCCATCTGGGGTCAGCACGATCCAGTTCTCATCAGAACCAGCTTCCTTTTCTCAACCATCACCGAGAACTCAGGGCCTGTGGGCTTCCTGGCCCCGCAGCCCCTTATGCCCCTGGGCTGAATTGTGTCCCCCCAAAATTCCTACATTGAAGTCCTAACCCCCTGGACCTCAGAATGTGACTCCACTTGGGAAGAGGGTCGTTGCAGATGTAATTAGTTAAGACAAGGTCACACTGGAGCAGGGCGGCCCATCTCCACTAGGGCTGTGTCCTTATCAAAGGGGAAATGTGGACACAGACACCCACACAGGAGAACACCATGTGAAGATGATGGCAGAGAGGGGAATGATGTGTCTACAAGCCAAGGAACTCCAAGGATGCCACCCAACCACCAGGAGCTGGGGGAGACCTGGAGCAGATTCTCCCTCACGGCCTCAGAGGGAGCCAGCCCTGGCCACACCTGGATGTCGGACCTCCAGCCCCCAGACGGGGAGAGGACAGCCTCCTGTTGTCTGAGCCCAGCTGTGGTGCTAAGTTACGGCAGCCCCAGGACACTCGCACACCCCAGACATCTGTTCCGAGTCCTGGACACTCGTCCCCATGTCCTCATTGTCTGAAGCCCACGCCAGCCTGCAGACCCCGTGCTCTGTCCCTGCTGGCTCCCCCACTGAGTGCTTCTGCCTGGTGCAGACCTCCTACCAAGGAGCAGACCCCCTGCAGGGCGGGGGCGAGGCACGAAGATGAAGAGCTCACGGTCCCTGCCCCCAAATAGAGGGGCTCATATGGAAACCACACCACACGCTCAGGTTTGATTAAAGGACAGGCAGGCCTGCACCCTGAGCATAATCCGAGTCCCAGCACCGGGCTGTCCTCATGTCACCAAGCAGGCACAGGCTCCGAGGTGCTGAGACCTGTTCACGGTCACCCAGCCGAAAGCCAGGGAGAGAGGCAGGACCCAGGTCCAGAGCCCTCGCTACTGGTGGACGGATGTGTACCCAGCAAACAGCACAGGTGAGCAGTGACAAGGGAAACATGTCTGGGTTCAGCACGTCCTGGAAGGCAGGTCAGATGTCAGCGTCTATATACTTTCTCATGCAAAGACAAGAAAGGAAGATGTGGAGGACCGAGAGCCAGGCGATCAGGGGTCTCCCAAGTCCAGTCCCTCTGCACTAGGATGAGACTTCCACACGGCTCCGCGTTTGGAGGTCGGTGATCACTCGTAGAGGACATCTCCCCAGCCTTGACGTCCAGAGCAGGACTCCTGTCACCCCTGACAGCAGTGGATAGTTCCCGGGGGCAGTGCAAGGTCCAGGAGGAGCGAGGCCTGGGGGCTTGGAACTCGGCCCCAATGTGGGCTCAGCAAGTGTGACCTTCGCCGCCCCATCCCCCTCCACCCACGTGGTAGACACCTGCCCAGGTGGTCCCCAGCTCCCCCGGGCCCAGCCCACCTGTGACACGGCTCTTAGTCGCCGACTTGCAGACAAACCAAACAAATGCCCATGGCTGTGTTTTTTCTGAAGGAAACGCGAGTGCTCTCCCTCACCCAGCATGCTTTGTTTCCTTTTAATGACAAGAACCCAGAGTGGGAGAGTCTCACCCGGCTGCAGCGACCCCAAGGGAACCAAGGTGGGGTCTGGGCTGCAGAACAGACTCCCGCCGTCTCTGAAACAAACTCGTCCTGGCCAGTTTCCCTGGCTAACAACAGCCCAGCCCTCGCTCCGCAGAACCTGGGATCCCAGACCCTCCATCTGCCAAGGGGGCCTCTCGCCCTGGGACCCCCCCAGTCCTTGTGTCCTCGAAGAAGGAGCAAGCCTCCATCAGCAAACGTCCCGGGCGCCAAGCCTCCCAGAAGGCACTTCTCATGCAGTGCCCAACCCCAGCTCCAGCGCCCAGGAGCCCCGTCCCTGCAGGCCAGCCATGGCTTCTCCCCCGTGCCCTGAACCGCTCAATGGCCCGGTGTCCACTCTGGCATAACAGAGCCCTGCAGCTGAGTGGTCCCTCCCGTCCCCTGCCACGAGTTCAGTGGGCATCCTTCCCTCCTTGAATCACTCACTCCACACCGATGGCAGCCTGGGGTTCTCGTGATCACGAAGACAGCCTCTTTTCAGAGGGGCTGGGAGAGCCATGGGGGAGGCAGTGGGGAAAGAGCCGACCAGAGCTGAGTCACCAGCATTTTGGGGTCCGCGGCCAACTCCCTCTCGTGTCATTTCAGGCCAGAAGTCCAGGACCTGGACGGCAACTCCCAATGTCCCGGCTTGGCCAGTGGGAAGCCAGAGGATGAAGAGGAGGAGGAGGAGGAGCTGGAGGAGGAGGACGACGACAGTCTGGCAGGGAAGTCCCAGGATGACACTGTGTCCCCCACGCCCGAGCCCCAGGGTGCCTACGAGGACGAGGACGAGGACCCTCCCGCCTCCCTGGCCGTGGGCTTTGACCACACCCGAAGGTGGGTGCTGGCTCCACCTGCTGGGGGGACTAGCCGGGGAGGGGCCTGAGCATCCTGAGGGTGATTCACTCTGAAATCCCCGCAGAACCCGCCAGTCTCCCAGCTGGGTCACCCTCCCTCCTAGCAGGGGCTTCCGCACGCAGGCCTGGGTGAGTCGGGGCCTGAGGAAAGGGGGTCAGGGGCCCCAGCCCACCCCCACACACATGCTCACACTCATACACACCCTCCAGGGCCCGGAAGCAGAGTGTGGGAGGGGAAGGCATTTCCCCGTGCTGAGAGGGAGCGGGTCCTTGACCCACGGCCGTCTCTGGCCCTGCAGTGGAGCCACACACTGCCCACAGGCCCAGGGCAGTGACGTCCACCTCTAGCGGGACTGTGGGCTGCAGGGGCTGAGCACCACAGTTTTGGAAGCTGTGCCTAGCAGAGCCACTTCCCCTACCTCCTGACTGCTCGCCACCTACATCTGGCCCTGGTGATGCTGCCAGCATCCCAAGATCCTCCAGGAGGCTTCAGGGATGGAATGTTTCCTCGAGCCCTTCCAGAGCTGCCCAGAGTCTTGGGAAACAAGGCCTCCCAATCTGTCCTCCGTCCCCAGAGGCCTGGGCACCCTGCCTGCTGCTTGCGATGTGTGTGCACGTACTCATCCTCTTCCACGGCCGTCCGTCTGTCAGTCTCCTGCATCTGTGTGGCGTCCGTCCAGTGTCTGTGTGTCTGTGTATCTGTCTCCCGTGCATGTGGCTTGTGGAGACGCAGTGGCGTGCATGCACTCACGGAGCCGGCTGTGGGGCATCAGAGAGGTGGCCAGAGGCCAGACCAGCTAACACCAGGCCCCTCTCCCCGGTCGTTGGTGCAGGTGTGTTGAGGAGCAGCCGAGCGGTCTGTTAGCTTTGGAGCCGGTGCCGACTTTTGGGAAGGGGCTGGATCTCCGCAGAGCAGCTGAGGAAGCGTTTGAAGTTAAAGATGTGCTTAATTCCACCTTAGATTCTGAGGCTTTAAAACAGACACTGTACAGGCAGGCTAAGAACCAGGTAGGTACCCGGCAGAGCCCGCCCCTCCCCACCTTCCCCAAGCTGGCCGGCAGGCGGCAGCTGCACCTCCTCCACCAGGGATAGCCTCGCCTCTTGCTGTGGCCATCCCATGCCTTCCTGGGGGACACTCAAGAGCCACTGGCCCTCCCTTGCTCATTGCCTCAGCTAGAGAGACACCCGAATGACCGCCACTTCCCGGAAAGCAGGGGTGGGGCAGGGAGAGGCTGAGAGCAGATGTACGTGAGTTGGACCCTCCCTCGGAGCTCCTCCAGGAGCGCTGATGGACATGTGGTCACCGTCCTCTCATCTCCAGTGGGAGGTGTCCACGAGCAGGTTCCAGCCCCCGAGGCTGCGCTGGCCTCCCTCCCTCCCTCCGCGTTCCGAGCAAGAATGACTGGTAGCCCAGGGTTCCCTCTAGGGAGGCTGCCCTGTCAGGTGGAGCTGTGATGGGTCAGCGAGGGCACTAGGCTTGGTCCCAGGCATTTCTTGTCTTTGTTCCTTAGTGTACGTGGCTGTAGGACCCTGCCTCCTGCTGCTCTGTCTGGAGGGGCCAGCATCTCATTCAGCTCTCCGCAGCTCATCCCAAGTCTCAGCAAAAACTGTCTGCATGTCTGTCTTTGTCTTTTTACTAATTCTGTCCAGAGTGTTGACTTGGGTGGGATGAGTGTTGGGCTTCCCCATCACCCCTGCCCTGCTCCAAGTGGCCCCAGGTCCATCACCTCATGCCCTGTGGCTTGCTGTGGAAGGATGGCCTGTGGACTGTCAAAGCCATACTCTAGGGCAGGAAACACATCTGCCTGCAGCTCAGAAATGCTGCACATCCGTTTCCCCGAAACAGCTCTGTGCTGTCACCAGTCGTCCAAATAGGTGTCCCCCAGGTTCGCTGGTGCCTGGTGGCAGCAATGCCCGGCCCCCTGCCCCACCAGGCAGGGACCGACTCTTGCTGATGGGGGTCTTAGCAATAACTATCAGCAATTCCCAGGGCCCTCCCAAAGCACACACTTGCCTGTAGGTTTCTGCTGATCACCAGGCAGAGAAAAGCGGAGAGGGGAGATGGGGAGGTGACTGCAGCGAGGTGAAGACCCCAAAGAGGCCGAGGAAGCCCCCTGTGCACAGAGGCCCCTGGCAGGGTCCATGGTTTTTTGGAGCCCCTCTGCATGGGAGCCTGGCAGGTGCCCTCCTCCCTCCCTGCTCTCCACTCACGTCTTCCTCTTCCAGGCCCGGGGACACCTTTGCTCTCCCTGCCATCTGGATCTGGGTGAGGCTGAGCCCAGCCAGAGGGCAGTGGGAGGCCAGGACAGGGTGGGAACAGAGCCAGCCCGGATCTATAGGATCCCAACCCACACTGCTCACCTGCCTGTCCTGTGTGTGTGTGTGTGTCCTCTCCCCCGCCAGGCATATGCAATGATGCTGTCCCTCTCCGAGGATGCTCCTCTCCACACCTCCTCCCAGAGCCCTCTGGACGCTTGGTTGAACATCACGGGAGCCACAGAGTCTGGAGCCTTTAACCCCATCAACCACCTCTGACCAGCCCAGGAGGGGCTGGGGTCAGAGTCCAAGTGAGGCGGCCGAGGGGCTCCCCGACGTCCCAACAGAAATCCCAGCTTCAGAAGATGGAGGCGAGGGCCTTGGGGAGCGGGCACAGCCTGGGCCAGGGAGACCCCCTTGTCACCTGCGTCTGACCACTCCTCAGTGTCTGTCCCCTCCATGGCTCAGTTCTGACTTTTCCGATGAAAACTCAGAGCCGGGAAGTCCCTGAAGCCGTCGTCGAGTGTCACTGTCTCTAAGACTTGGTCTTGAGAACGCATTCAAGAATGGTACAGCGCACGGCCTTCCCTCGTGGAATCACCCAGTGGGCGAGGGTGGGGTTTTATCCCAAACTGAAGCCGGCGGGCCGCTTCCGGTCACCGTGTGGTGTCTTGGAAGGGAATGGACAGACACGGTGTGCTCTCAAGGGGGAGATGGCCCACACGGTTTTTATAAGGAAAATTACGAGAATAACCTTTTTGGTAATCTTATTGACGACAGAGTCTATTTAAGCATGTGGTTTTAAAAATAGACAGTATTTTTTAAAAAATCAACAAATGACTTGCAAATTGTTTTTTAAAAGTAATTTTGCATTGCTTTGAAATCTCAGCTTATTTGCAGACCCAAGCCTGCCTGAGAGCCAGCGCTGTGCTGGGTGTGTTCTTTAGTCTGTACATAATGGAGAAATTTTCTATCCCTGCCCGCATTTGTAAAGCCAAGGTGATTCTGGGTGCCCCCAAGGCAGAACCAAGGGGCGTGGGGTCTGCTCCTGTGGGCAGTTTCAAACTGTACAGAGGAATTCTTACATGTGGTGTCCTGGGCTGGCCCAAGGCTGGGACAGGGAGATGTGGCTGTCATTGTGTGACGTGATTCATGGCCCCCACCAAGACCCCCCAATTGTATGGGGAAGGTCGGAGCGGTGGCTCTGGTCCCCAGTGCAGGGGGGTGCCGGGGACCTGACGTTCCTCCCCCCACGGTCTGTGCCTCGGCCACCACGCTCTTCAGAAGGCAGGCCCTGCTGGCCACGTCTGGATCTCCAGCCTCCACCCTCACTCACCCTGGTCAGACGGTCAAAAGTAAGGAAGCAGGCATCACCGTGGCCGCCTTGGGGCACACTCCGTGGCTTCCCTGCCCCAGGCCGCCAAGCTCTCGTGTGCCAGAGACCCTGGATCCGGGACACAGCTGCCACTTCTGCTCTTTGCACAGGGTCTTGGCGGGCGGGACCCGGCTCCAGAAAGGAAGGGCGTCCAGACGCGACCTGACCTGCAGCAAAGACAGCCCAGCCCATCGGGACTGCGCCTCCTTCTGGACGGGTCTACTTCTCCACTCAGATGGGCTTTAAATTATTCCCCTAGGGGCCAATTTCAAATAATAATTTTTCCCCTAATGGAATTTACCTTAATCTGTATATAACTTGTAATTTTTTCTAATTCATTTCTTTTCTTATTTTATTTCCTCCTTAACAGTATTTTTGGCATTAGACATTCTTGTTGTGAAGAAATAATGTTAATATAAGTATCTAGTGAAGGACCAAAACCGTGTAATAAGGGTGTGTGTTGTGTGATGGATCACCAGGGAGTGGGGATTTTTAATGTGCCAAATACCCCCACGTCTCCCCAACGAATCCTGCTGTCACTGCTGCCTGTTTTCCAGACAATCATGTGTTTTTGTTAAATTTGAGTTTCAGTTGCATTTAAGACAGGTGTTCTATTTATTTCTTGTATTGTTTGGAAGAAAAAAGAAAAACAGTGTCCCAACAAGAAGAGAAAAAAATCGCCCGAGTTGCCCTTAAAAGAAAGAGTGTAAGTTAAGTACACGCAGTGGTGGTGCCACCACGTGGTGTGGATCGTGTCTCACGGTGGACGCCTCGGCGCTGGCCCAGGGCGGCAGGAAGTGTCTGAGCAGGCAGGTGCCTTAAACGCACCGCCAGCCGCTCCAGGCCAAAGACAATCGTCCGTGAAGGCGCTGGGAGGCCCAGCCTCACACTGGAGACCTGCGTGGGGAGGTCCCCGAGGGCACCACTAACCTGCGGATCCCCAGGAAAGGGCTTCACCCCTTTCTCAAACCCACACGAGGTAGGAGCAAGACTGAGAACCGCCCTGTGCACACTGAGGCCACTTACACACGTATGGAGGCAGGAAAGTCACCCCTCCGGGCAGCCAGGGAGAAGCCGCGTGCGGAAGAGCTGGCGGGCCACGTCGGTAAGGATCTGCAAACACAACCGCTCACACCTCCTCGCCAGCATCCGCGACTGCCCTGAGCCAGACCCGCCAGGCGTGGTGTTGGAATTTCCAATTTCCCTTCCATCTAACTGGGATCCCTTTGAAAGTCAACCTCAGATACAAATACCCCATTTCTGTAAACCCAAATTATATGATTTCTTCTGCTAAAGAATAAGGTGTGTGCTTTTTTTTGCGATATGACTCTCTCGGTCTAAAATCGGAAGTTTGGACTGGCAGAAATCTAAGTGTCTGTTCTTGGAGGTGGCAGAGCAGACGAGGGCCTGCCCTTCCCGTCCATCCTGGATTTCTCTGTTGACCGCCACGTTCTGCCATTTTTGGCCGATCTCCCTAAGCATTCTCTCTTCTATTTCCCTCTTTTCCCCCTATCCCCTAAGGGCCCTGGTTGCACATTTTAGTCCTATATTTTTGTCCCCCTGAAAATGACTAGAGCAAGCCCAGTTTCTCCTGAATCTTCAGCCCCTCGGGCCCAAGCACTTGGCAGGTTTGGGGGTGGGTGTCTGTCCTTGGACCCCCTGACAAAGAGAGCACTTATTTCCCATGCCTGGGGTGTCCATGAAACATTGCCTCAAAGCTCATCATCACCCCAGACCACAGCGAGCTGCCCTCCCTGTTTCTTCTCTGCCCCAGGCTCCAGCACCTGGTGGGCAGCTCCCAGTTCACTCAGGCCCAGCATCCCGGATGCAGATGCCACCATGTGCCCAGAGACCCCCTGGGGGCCAAGGAGCCTGGGCCAGGCACGAGAATTCCAAGATCCCAGCCTCAGAGCACAGATGCAACTGGGCGGCTGGCTGGCTGACTGCTGCGTCCATGGGCAGGTGGCCAGGGTTGGGGCTGTAAACCAGGGGTCCCACTGGGCCAGGTTTGCCTGGGGCCAGGGCCCTTCAGTCCAGCCTTAACTGCCTCCCTTTTTTGGACCGTTGACACTCAGCCACAAATGGAAATTCAGAAGGAGGCCTCCTGGCCCTTCCCTCCACCGCCCCTCAGACCCCAGCCCCAAGCAGGCCAACACCCTCCCCCACTGCGCTCTCATTCCAGGACGATCGGGTAGGACACACGGGGCTGCCAACCCCTCGACCAGCCAGACCCTTCGTGAGTGGGACCCAGAGGCCCCCGGATGGAACCCGGGGGTGTGCGTTCCTGCAGCCTGCCTGGGACCCCAGGGTGTGGATCAACCCGAGAGACCACTCAGCTCGCGTGGCCTTCCTGTACCAGGCCGAGAGTGCAGCCGGTCAGTCCAGACCCTGATTGGCCCAGCACCTCCGCGGCCCCACAGCCTGGCCCTGGAATCTCTGAGGACCCTTGGCCTCCTCTGTGCTTGCTGCTTCCTCAGTGAGCATTTGCAAAGCGCTCACCTGAATACATATCACCCGTGGCAGCCTCGAAGCCTCGAAGCACTGGACTGTAGACCCTGCCCCTGCCCTGCCCGCCATTCCCCTGCCCACGTGACTGAAACCTACTGAGCTGTATTCACTGTGCTGTCCTGGGGGAGGGGCGAGGGGCAGCGCCAGGCCGGGAGAGCGCGCCCCTGCACTGCCGCCCGGGGGACGGACCGGGAGCCCAGCACCTCGCTCCCCTCCCGGCTGGGGACTCGAGGACACAGCTGCTCCTGCTCAGTGGAGGTCAGCCGGGTATCGAAGCCATGAAACTGTGTCTCTGTAGCAACGAGCGATACTGTGACTAAGACATTCTTGCGTTATTCCAAGGAGAGTTCCTTTTCTCCTCCATTCCAGTTTTTTTGCTTTATTCTTTTCTGTCACTGATTCAAATTACCACTTTTGGAAAAAATGAAAGAAAATATAATGAAAAGGCAGCTTGAGTTTCCAAATGTGCAATTCACTTGTGAACAAAGTAATTCTAGAGGTTTCTCTCCGTGTGTTTTCCATCGTCACTGTTCTCTTCAAGACAAGGGAGGCTGAGCCCTGTGTCAGGATACGTTGTTGAAAGCACACACAGGTGTACATGCACACAAGAACCCCCGACCTGTGCATCCACATCATCCTCTGGCCATTGTTACATTGCAGATTTCATTTAGTTTGTTTTTTGTTTTTTTTTTTCTTTTAGAACTGTAGAGTGTTGAAGAAGAAATCGAAAGTAAATGTCTGGTTTTCATATAATGTTTAAAAAGACCATTAGGAAGGAGGCCGGTATGTGTCCCATGTCCCCCTGATTGTAAATTGCTTCTGTTATCAGTAAACTGTGCATGACTCGTGTTTAGCAGTCATTATCGTGTCTGTTTGTGAAATTCTTATGAAGAGGAAAATTCCGTAGATGCACTTACTGAATATGTGGTTAGGGTCCACGTCCTCAGACCAGGAGTCCTGAACTGCCAACGCAAAAGACGCAGTTCTTAATCACTATGGAAGTTGCTGTGGGAGAAGACTGAAATAAAAAGACGTGAGGGCTAGGAAGTCGTTAAGAGCGATTCTGCAGATTTCATTTTGATGCTTGTGAAAAAGACAAATGTACTTGTGTAGAGAAATTTCTTTAAGATAAAGCCTAGGAGAAGCTGATTTGAGGTTAAGCTGTAGAATAGGACTGTATACCAAATGTAATCTTTCCGATGCTACAATGAATTTATACATGAGATTGATATGCAATAAATCTGTGTGCTTTTCTAAGCCTCCGTGCCCGCGAGCTTCATTGAAGGAGAACGGAGGCCTCTGGGATGGGAGAAGGGGTTCAAGAGTCAGGGCGTGGCCAGTGGCGAAGCTCACCAGCCTTGACTGAGATCCCAGGTGACAGGCCCTGGTGTAAGTGAACCATCCTCCCAACACCACCACCAGGGCTATTCCTGATTTCCAGAAAACGACAAGCTCAGGGAGGGCACCAACTACCCCGGACAGCCCTGCAGTGAGAGTGGCCTCCAGGTGTGCCCTCCTCCAGATGTGGCAGCCTCCAAGTGTGTCCACCCCCAGGCGTGGTGTCTTCCAGGTGTAGCCTCCAGGTGGTGGCCTCCAGGTGCGTCTTCCTCCAGATGCAGCAGCCCCCAAGGATGACCTCCTCTAGGCACATCCTCCTCTAGGTGTGTCAATCTCCAAGCATGGTGCCTTCCAGGTGTGGC